AATGAACGACATGCGACTCCCACGTCTCAAAGCCGAGGTGATGAGACTGCGTAAGAACCTGACGCTGTGCACGACACTCAATAAACAGTATAAAGAACATGCGAAGATGATGACGAGGTTGACCAGTGGAATGTTCCAGGTCAAGCAGGAGCTGACGGAGATCAGGAAGAGATTGGAGATTGGAGACGCGTACCAGACCATTGCAGAAAGGTACGCGGACACTTATGCGCGACCCCTCCCCCCACAGTTGTTGGGAGCTGCCCCAACACTTTTGCTGAATCGGTTCGAGATGCCACGTATGCATGAAAACCCCCGCGGGGAGACATGTTGGTGATGTGACAGTAAATACCACATCAGCTGGAACTGTCCCCTCAATCGCAAGTGGTGCCACCACTGTCGCAGCAATTTGCATTGGAGCCGATTTTGCATCTTCCGCCGCATAGGCGTTACCCCGACGATCATCAACCCATCAGGTTGGTGTGGTAAATGTCTCCGCCACAATGCAGGGCATAGGGAGTTGGACTGCCCTATCCATGATCTCTGTCATTCCTGTGGTCAGCGCGGACCTTATGGATTTCTCCGCACCCACAGATGTCCACAAGACTCAGACAAGGAGAACGACACTTTGGACAATCGTAATGTAGCTGATGATTATCTGGAGTTGGTACAAGATGATGACGGTACGAGTCGTTTCTAGCCAGGTCTGCTAGAACCAGAAGAGGGGGTGATGTTACGACCCCTGCCGAGCAACCCCATTTTCTTCACCCTCCCCAACACCGACCCCACTTTGCCACCTACATTACATTTCTTGATCACATCCCCGTCCTGGGATCCGTCACGTGCCCTACTCCCATCCCCATGACTCAGTTTGTATCTGTTGACGTGCTGTTTGCTTATGATTGCTTTCTTATCTCTTTATCTCCTTATCTTAAGATTGGACACTTACTTAGTACCCTATCAGAAGCTAGGCTTTACGCCGTCCGCTTTCGTATATTCGGGCCCACCTGACTCGGTTATCTTATCTATAGATGCCCGTTCGATTACGTATATAAGTCTGCTGTAACTACATTGTAGACTTCAGACTCGACTTATTGAATACATTGGTGCTTGTCTTCTGGACACCCCTTTGAACGCTTAACTCAGTTGTCTCAGTACTTCTGGTACTTTCCGCTTAACATTGTCTTCAAGTACAGCCTTGTCGACTTTGACTCTTCCCATCTAAACTCCAAGGGATCTCATTGGTCCCTTATCTGATCACGAACGAACGCTGTCACACAAGTCGTGTGGAACGTCCCACACCGGATGTAACAATTATAGTCACATGACCACTTTCGGATGTATTAGGATCATTAAGTATCTAAGTGATTGTGATTGGCTGCGTTATCTCTGAAACGCATGATCACAATCTTATGTCGGACCGATCTCCGGTAGCTCTGTACCGGTACTCTGGTTCAACAAGTTCACCTTTCCGCTTCGACCCCGTCTCTCTTTCCCACTTTACTCTCTCTCCTACCACCCTGATCAAACAGTAGTTACTTTGTACCAGTAATTGCCGCGCACGCGATTTGGGCACAGCCCTGAAGCGCGAATAAAATCAATTTCAAATAAAAACACACTGTTCTTGTCAAGCCATGGAAAGGAAATATCCCGGAATATGTGAAAACATCACATGAGAGTATCACATGAAATTTTATACTGGTAAATTACCAGTGAATTCACCTTCCCATCAGACCCTCTGTAAATTACCAGTAAATTACTGGCCTAGTGTTTGTGCTTGCCGTTTACTTTTACACGTGATCGTTCACCCCAGCGCACATCACCAGATATTGAAATGAATGACATAGTGTGATGTGCTACTTTGGCGGCGTACCGAAATATACCGCAGGGATGAGTAGGCGGGTACTCACCTGGGATAGCCGAGGAAAAACTCATTAAAATTTAGGACTTGTGTCCGCAGGTGCGATAAGCAAGCAAAGTTATAAGCCTATGGACCACGCCCCATGCCCCATGGCGGTGGCAGCACGGACGATCAATGTGCTCTCGGCCAAACAAAGAAAAATGGGGTCACTCAGCGGTGTCCAGCCTCACGTGGGCGTACCCGTGTCCGGGGGTGGTAGGGGGGAGAAGAGCCATTCAGATATCAAGAGATAAAAGCGGTAGCAAAATCATTTTTACACGGTGGCAGCGGAACGAAAAAGTTACTCACGCGGTCGTCCTCACCCCGCATTGTCACTCGGATCAGTGATACTCCCTAACACATCATGCCTCTAGCCCCTACCCTATCTGAGGAGGCGGCAGGTTCACCACAGACGCACCTGCCCTGACTACAACACATGCTCATTACCCCTCGACCATCATTCGTTCTGTATGTAAACCCTCGCCGTACGCCATACTCTCGAAGATAACTTGCCGCCACACAGCTATTGTAAACTCGACAGCCTCCTCGTCAAGAACCTATGTAATCATTTGATTCAGCATATTCACATATTGAATGGTTCATTTAAAAACGTACGGGTTCAAGACCCTCTACAAGTTTGGCTGGACTTTTATGGTCTTTGATGTGCTCGATGGCGTACATCACGACGTCGTCGTCGTCGAGCTCGCCAAGGTATTTAACCATCAACTTTTTCACGAGCGGCTCCAGCTTGCGATCAATCATTTGCTAATGAAAACCCAAAGTCAGCAAGAAGAAGGGGAAGGATTGGTCGTGAATCGAACGCACCTCAGTGACCGCATCCCACCTGACCTTGGATTTGAACAGCGTTTCTCGTTCGCTCGGAACGGACGCCTTAATGTGCTCCAAACGCTCCTTCGCCTTCTCGATGTCGTGTGCTGCGCTGAAGTCGAGTAATTGGAGTGGCACTTTGCGCTTCCGTGTTGCCTCTTCTTCCTCTTCCTCAGCGCCGAACACCCCAGGCGCGGGTGCCTTCTCCTTTGTAGGTGCCGCATCCGCCTTGGGCGCAGCCGTCGAGAGAGAGACATTGAGCCTGACAGGCGCACCGTCGTCTAGAAGCATGCCGGCCTTGCGTTGCTCCTCTGCCAGCGCTTGCAATTCATCCATCTGCCGCGCAAGGAATGCCTCACTTTCGCGTCGCAAGTTCTCGGCTTCTCGAGCTTCGTATGCACGCATTTCGCTGTCTGCAGCCTCCTCTGCGACGAGACGCCGCACGCGCTGAGTGCGCCAGCGCGCGCGGTCGGTATAGAAGAGCTCGTCTGACTCATCGTCATCCCATATGTCGAGGCGCGCACGCATCTCGCCGCGATCACGCTCTTCGGCTTCACCAGTAGCGCGGTCACGTGCAATGGCACGCTCGAGGGCTTGAATGCGATTGCGCTCGCGAGGTTCGTAACGGCGTTCGCGCTATAGAAAACCGGGGCTATGTGAGGTGCGTTTAAGATGTAACAAGTAGGATTACGTACGTCTCGAAACGAATTATCTTCGTCGCGTCTCCTCGCATCCTTTCGTTCCTGCTCGAGCTCCTCGTCCGTTTTTGTTGTCTTACCAGGAAGCTGGCGTTCATCATCGCGCTCCCGGCTTCCTGCCTTGACAAAGCTGACAGGTTTTGAGAAGCCCTGTTGGGGATCTTGGCCAAATGCTGTCGATTCGCGAGTCTCGGCAGTCCCCTGGGCCTTTCCCCATTCGCGAACCTTGGGACCACTTGGGGAGGCTACCGCGCTAAGGTTCGGGACGGCTGCACGAACATCGCGTAATTTCTCGCGTTCGCGCTTGGCCGCCCGTTCGCGAAATTGCGCGATTTCCGAGATGACGAGCCCGCGTTGGGTTTCTGGTAGGTCGGCTTCTTGAAGATCGTGTAGGTGGGGAGGAATCACGTAGCGTTCTTTATCCAGTAAACCATTATTGGCAGCTTCTTGAGAAACGCGGTTAATGTCGTTGATGAGCTCAATCACCCGTATCTTGGCTTTCTGCGTCGCTTCTTCGTCCGCCTAATAGAATTTGAGCAGGTCAGAGAGACAGGAAGCCAGACACAACACGGTGATAGGAACACGCTGCAGCCCTTATGACAACATAGACGCATGGCCGGGCAGAGAGATGGACACGCATATACGCCACATGGGCTACAACACGGGACTGTTAGACTAGAAGTGTGGTGACGACGCACGTTTGTCTGCATTCGTTGAGCTTGATAAGCCTCAAGGAACATCTTGGTTTTTTCGTCCCCTTTAATCTGCGGTGGCATTAAATATAAATTTACTGAGTAGGAAATTACGAGGACTCACCAACAATTTCTTGTTCACACAGCCATCCTCCAAGGCAGGCAGTTCAACATTATTTAAAAGTGTCGTCGCTCGCAGCGCACCGTCCGGATCCTCAAATTCTGCGAATCCAAAGCCTTGAGGTTTATTGGCAGGTGTGATCAAGCGTTTGAAAGACTTGACGTTGCCGCAGGCCTGTGATCCTCTGTAAGTAATGGGAAAAAGATATTGACGAAACGAGACCCACGGAAAGAAGTTCATTCAGAAAAGAGTCGGTGATGCCACCTGAGATTGAACCGACAAAAAGCGAAATTTGCTTTTGAGCATGCGGAGGGACAAACCCCTGAAGGTGCATTTGCTGCTGCTGTGCAAGAGCCGATATTGAGGGGCCTTGCCCGTATGACGGCAGAGGAGGACGCAGACCAAGTCCTAGCCGATTGGGCTGCATATTTTCTGATCTTGATTAGAACCTTTCCTTTCTGACTTGCTAAATCGCGTGCGTTCACGAACTGAACGGAAATCGTTCATTACGAACTAACATACCTGTTCAATTGCTGACCACAATTCTACGAAAGGGTATTTGATAAATGGCAGTATCTTCACGGAAATGTTCTTCTAATTCGGTGGTTATGAGGTGGATTCAGGCCCGCGACCAACAATGAAGATGAGGAGACGATGAACGATGACGACGCAGCCAAGCAAGAGCAAGACGACACAAGTTTTCGGGTTTCGGTTTTCGGTTACTTAAAATGATATTGATAATACTCATGACATTTCTATGGCATGGCAATATGGCCGAGCGGTCTAAGGCGCTGGAATCAGGTTCTTTCCCTAATCCAGTCCGAAAGGGCGTGGGTTCGAATCCCACTGTTGTCAATTTTTGTATTTTATTTTATTTTGTGAGTGCCTCTGGATGTTATGCGATGTACAGAGTTTCCGTCATATTTATACGGTGCGATATTGGTCCACCTCTGCAGAACTACTTATGCCTCCTTATGTCCAGACCCGTGCAGGGGAGGTAAGCCCAAGGTTTGTGTTTGTAGACCTAGGAGCGCCTCCGAGTCGTCCGCTGACACTTTGCACGTGGTGGGCAATTAGGCTACGGATAAGTCCTTCCCATGCGTCGGCCTGTACTGAGGATTCCTCGAAATAGTAGAGCAGGAATGCGGGGGCTTGCCTCTTTATGCGCCAGCAACGTTTACCATAACCTGCTCAACTGGGCTGATGAGAACAGACTCAGACTGATAGCGCGTACAGTACAAATTTCATCACGGATGACAAAAAGTTGCCAATGCCGACATCCAAGATTCCGTCTTCGCATGTCTTCGCATGGAAGCCTCCGTGACGACACCACAAAATTGACGCACGTTCCCGCGAGTTGCCCACCTGTAGGAGGTTCTTCCAATGGAATGACGGTAGGTTGACTAGAACTACACCTTGATAGAAGGCTCTGCTTGTGAAAGAATTCCGTTGCGGGTGCTCATCACCGATGAAATAACGCAAAAGTGATGTCGGCTCTTGAGCGGCACAGCGCCAAGCAAGTTTTTTGTAGTTGGGGTCGGGATGACGAAATGTGCTAGCTTCGGATATAAGTATTGTTTTGTATTGAAAATACTAGTGAAAAAAGGGTTGTCTATTCCGTGACAACCATCATCCCCGCCACATGTTGTGGAGCGAGCACAGGCATGTGTTGCGATTTGCGATTCAGCATTGGAGGAGGGGAACTTATCACATATCACATTCTGCCGTCATGGCACTAGTGCTTTCAATGAACCCTCTCCCTTATTCGTGAACGTCCGACACTCAACTCGGCTATTTATTACCCAACTGAACCACTGCGGAGTACGGATGTCTTTTCGCGCATGTAATTCCACTTATAATTCCGTTCTGGCAGGGATGAGAAATATACCAGCATTTTTCATTTGTTGCGAACTGCTTCTGGGTCATAGCATGACACTCTTCAGGCAATAGTCGCTGGAACAACAGTTGGAGAACGTTTTACTGGACGCGACCACACTTCAACATGCCGTGAAGCATCTTGGTCACTTGGGAAGCGCTAATAGATCGTAGTGAAGCAGAAGCATCCTCGGACGTTCAAACAAACAGCTAATCATGTACGAGACAGTGAGGCTAAACCTAAATAAGGAATCTGCTCGGGTACTTCTTTACAACTCACCGGTCGACAGCAACTTGAATAAATCCCAGATGCCCGTTCCTCATGGGAAAAAAATGGCACGTTCCGCACAATGACATGCCGATTTCTCCCATGTTCCATCCGTCGTATGGAGTTATGTCTAGTTGACTTTGGAACCAGGAATTGAGACTCCAGGCTGAGTGCAAACACTCAAACCACAATACACTTACCCGTCATTACGATGCGAACGCTCCCTAGGAATCTTCAGGACTTACGTTTCAGAGCGGTTTGCGTCTTCGAGGATGGGATATAAGATTCTCTGTCGCTCTGTCCACTGTACGGCAGTCCCCAATCCGAGTCAGTCGGAGCCCGTTCTCTTACCATGTACTTCCTCGCTGCCTTTGTCCTTACCGCCCTGCTCTTGCTCGTGGAAGCTGCCCCACTAGGTGGCTCCTTTCCTGGACTGTCCATCTCCATCGCAAAGCGATCTGGGTTATGTGATGCTGATGGTATAGTCGATACTACTATTCTCCATGATCAAATCCTAAGCGTGCTAGCGTACGTGTTGTGTTAAATATACCCAAAGGTATTCACTTTATTTTATGGTCTTCCTATGCATATAGAAAGATCGACAGAGGTTTCGCGGCTTACCTGAAGAACGTCGGAAACCGTCATCCTCTGGCTGAATTCTTTGCTTTTGAGCGCCTAGACAAGCGTGGGAGCGGTGACTCCCTTGTTGATGACAACGCTTCGTTATGGTACGGCGAGATTTCTGTAGGAACTCCCTTGAAGACATTCACGGGTCAGTACTTATGATAGAACGCTTTGAACCTCCACTGATTCACCTCTCTTACAGTGGATTTTGACACTGGGAGCAGCGACCTATTTCTCCCTGGGGATCAGTGCGATTCAACCTGCTCTGGCCATACGATTTATGACACCAGAAAGAGCTCTACTGCGAAAGATCTTGGGAAATCGTTTCGTTTGAATTACGGCGATGGGTCATCTGTCAGGGGGGAACAGTACAGAGATACCGTGTCCATTTCCGGGTTGACAGTGCGCTATTATCTTTCATTCCAACATTCCTAATATAACCTCCTCTCAGGCTACTGGCCAGACTCTAGGTGCAGCGACAACCTACTCTAATGGTTTCCAAAGTAACCAGTTCCCTGCCGACGGTCTTCTTGGGATGGGTTTCGCGTCTATTTCTGCTTATAACGCACCACCGCTCTTCCAGTCTCTTGTCGCCCAGGGTCAAGTCGATCAGCAAATTTTTAGCTTTTACCTGGCTGAACAGGACTCTGAGCTCTATATTGGTGGCACAAATCCGAAGCACTACTCAGGTGACTTCACCTACGTACCCGTTACTAAGGAGGTTCGATAGCAGCAATTTCTCCGTAACGCGTCCCCTAACGGTGGCTTTGTATGCAGGGGTACTGGCAGGTTGATTTTGGTGGAGTCTCAGTGGATGGTTCCCAGGTTAAGCAGGGTGCCTCTTCAATAGTGGACACTGGAACCACCCTTATCATTGGTGATACTAACGGTATCGCGGCTCTCTTCGCTAAAATTCCTGGGTCTCGTCAGATAGACAATGGCCTGTATGCCAGTCTGTATTATCGCACTTATCGCCTATTCAAGTAGAAAACTAACACACACCCTAGTCCCTTGTAATTTCAACGCCAAGATTTCAGTCAACTTTGGTGGTAAAGACTTTAATGTGGACCCGAAGATGTTCAACCTTGGGCCCATTGACCAGAGTTCAAATCTCTGCCTTGCTGGTGCGGCATCAAGCAATTCACTTGGTAAGAGTAGTTTTTTCCACTCATGTGTGTTCTCAATCAATCAAACCCGTAATTGCAGATTTCTGGATCTTTGGCGATGTGTTCCTGCGAAATGTGTATACATCATTTGATGTCCACAACTCCCGCGTCGGTTTCGCGACTCTTGTATAAGCTTGGCTCAAGAGTTGTCTCTCTCCGAACTTTGCGCAGTCACACGCATGCACACTCGTTTTTTGTTGTTGTAGGTGTATTTGTCGCTCGTTTCAAAATGATACCCTCGTTTTTTGTCAACTATTCAGCATCTTTTGGATTGTCTGGATCATAGGAATTGAGAGCTTATATTTCTTATAATCATAAGTAGCGTGGCGGCCAAACCTTATCAGTTTCGGGTGGGATGATGACCATCTAATCATTTCGATTGTGACGTGACTATATGACTGTGACCTTGTTGTGACTGCCGAATGACCTTATCCCTGTGCCTGTGTAATTTGATATGTACTTACAGTATCAAAAATAATAATAATAAAATAACTCCTGTCCCTCATCCTCAGACCTCCATCGGCGGGCGGACAACGAACAGAGACATGAGCCTTCACCTCCCTGCTACTTCTCTCGATATCACCGAAAATGAAATTGGATCAGGATCTGAGAGTGAGCCAAATGGAACCGATGCTGAGGAAACCTGGAGCGATTGGGTCTCCGACTCGCCAATTGATAGACAATGCAAATCCCTGTTCGAGGACAAGTTCCTTGCGTCCACGACAGAGGCACTAGATTATGACAAGAGAATACACGGGTTTGATCTGAACTCTTTCTGTAAAGAAAAAGGTTCTCCTATTCCCCCTGATTGCTATTTGGATGCCCCTAATGTGGAAGTTTACGTGCAGCGCTCGACTTTTATGATCGAGTTCGTCTGATAAACTACATCAGGAAGGAGGTATGTACATGTTCTCAAATACGATTTTAATGATTTAAAATTCCGCACAGAAACCTTCTGCGCAGAGTTTGCGAACTCTCAGTGGGAAGGAGTTTTCCTATGATGACTATCTGTTGCCTGTGATAGAAGATGATCCGCTTCTTCGTAAGTTCTACGCAACGAGGAGCGTATGCCCTCTGATTCTGTATTAGTGGGTCCTCTGGACAGTTGGTCCGATAGTGAGGATGGCTCCAATTTATCAGCTCCCACTGACCTCGCGACTGCTAATCGGAGAATCGCCACCCTCGAATTGAAATTAGCTGCCGCAAAGGAAGAGCTTACTCATTTCCGATTGTTAGTTCACCAGCGCATGGATACAGCTCATATTAGAGATGCTATCAACGCCCCTGATGGGCATATTGCGAGCCCTAGCAGGCGCGATGATGACTCTCATTACTTTGAGAGCTATGGAGAGAGCGGTAGGACCATCTTGCAGCACATAACTTCCCATGGTCTAATTATTACTTTTCTTCTGCAAGAAATTCATGCAGTGATGATCCAAGACAGAGTTCGAACCTCCTCCTATGCGTCCTTCATCATGACGAACGCCGATCTTTTCCAAAATGCGGTCGTTTTGGATGTGGGATGCGGGACAGGAATTCTATCTCTGTTTGCTGCTCGTGCAGGCGCAAAACGTGTCATCGCTATCGATGCGAGCGATATCGCGCTCAAAGCTAAACGCATTGTTGAAGCTAACGGTTACGAAAATGTTATAACGTGAGCCATTCTTACTAATCGTCCCGTTACCTTCAAACTCGTGTAGCGTCATCCAAGGAAAGGTAGAGGAGATCTCGCTTCCCGACGACATCTCTCACGTCGATGTGATCGTTTCCGAATGGATGGGTTACGCCTTGCTATACGAGTCAATGCTGGATTCGGTGCTCCATGCACGAGATCGTTTTCTTAAACCCGCTGGGGTTATGGCTCCAAGCCAGTGTAGAATGATGCTCTGTCTGAGCGAGGCGAGCGACATCTACAAAGAAAG